CTACTCACGGAGAGTAATTCCCGAATTGCCCGAACAAAAGCACCATGCACTCCAAGATCCGAAGAGTCCCCAATTGCCAAGCCCACCACACTTTTATTATCCACTTCGACAATAACCTTACGGTGCCCCAAGTCCCAAGCCAGCAGCAACCCTTGAAAAAGTCTCCAAAGCTCGGCTCCAATAATCGAGCAATACCCTATGTTCATCGTAAAGCCACCAAGCCATCGACCCCCCTCGCCTCGGACCAAGCCGCCAGCTGTAGCCATCCCGGAACTGGTAACAAATGACCCATCTGTGTTAACTTTGACAGTGCCACCAGACGGTGCTTCCCAACAAACGTAACGCACACCACGCCCCACGCCTAGGCCTCGCAACTTTTTCTCGGTTACAGCGACCTCTCGAAAGCCAAGAGCCACAGCTCGTGCTTCCTGGATTTTCTGTGAGATGGCCAACTCTTTACCAGTGAAAATTTTCTCATTTCTTCCTCGCCAGACGTGCCAAGCAGTGACCTCAAAGAGGGTCTCCCAGCCGACCACACTAATGCCCAACTCATTTTCATATCACTATACGAAACAATGCTCACCTAGTGACACATGTTAATATGCACATTGTGGATGTGGCATGCACACATTGGTGATGTGAATATATTAAAAAAATACATTATCAATGTATGTATATGTCACATAAGCTGTGAACATATTAACATGTGTTCACCGTGGGTATGTGAACATTGTTCATCACTATATATATTGTTATTGTTATTACAATTATTATTATTACTAGTATTCCATTTGACCACGTGCTAATAATGACCACAAAATTTTATATGTTATATGTATATGTGTATATAATATTTAAAAATCATAAATTAAATAATGAGTCTATCACAATTTATAAATTTTATTATTTACTTACATATTAGCATTTATATTGATTGCAATTATGTAATTATTGCAATCTTAGTTGAGTATAACTTATTAATTTGATTAAAAAAGTTAATAAAATTGTTATTTTAGCATTTGTGTACTAAGTTTTAAGGGGTTTGGTTGTGGCATAAAAAATAATTGACTACTTTAATAAGAAACTTGCTTCTAACAAATAATTAACTAATTTTAATAAAAAAATGTTTAATTTTGAACGAATAGTTTGAAAAAAATTATTATTATTATTATTATTATTATTATTATTATTATTATTATTATTATTATTATTATTATTATTATTATTATATTACTATTACTATTTCTTTTTTGGGCAACACGTATGGTACAATTGAGCCAGTCAAGCATTCGTCTTATTAAATATTTTCAATGTTGATAGAACTCGACTTTTCATCGCCTTACCAGCAAAACACCGGGAGTATTCTCGATATAGACACTCTGAAAGTGAAGTTGGTAAAATTAATTGGCTTTACTTAGATGTTAGTGGATTGGTATAATATTAGTGAATTGAACCTCATTTGAGGCGGTCAACAAATCTACTAAGTAGCTTGTTTGGTAAGAAGCTTAACTGACTAGTTTTTTTTAGCCCAAAATACTAATCAATAAAAAGTTCAATATATTCACTTTTCAGAATCGAGTATTCGTAAGATAATATGTCAAAATTAAATTTTAATTGCTCTACAAATTATTATTTACCAAAAAGAACAAGTCGTTAATATAATCTTCAAGGTCAAATCAGCTGTTATAATCCGCTATCAGTTATCCATTAATACAATCAACTAACACTATTCGATATCACCTAATAACCAAGCAAGACGATGTGATTGCTTTATAGGATTCACTTTTTATATGCTTTAATTTATCATATTCAACTAAATATCTAATTTGAAAACCAATCCTACGAAACTTTTCTTTTTTCTTTTTTCTTCAAATGATAATAATATATAAAACTAAAAAATAGTGCACATTTAAGATGTCAACTCGCATCACAAGGACCAGTTCAAAGCTTGACTCATCTCCCTTGCAATTACAAAGACAACCAATAGAACAACTTATTATCACGACACTTATAAAGGTAAACAACAAAACTCCAAACACTTGAAACTACTGTAACCTGCACAGCAGTAAGCTTAGGTTCCTTCTTTCTTCGGGCTACAAATACCAAAAGTTCCGACCTACTAGCGAAAGAAAATACCAACAGTTAGGAGGTGCCGAGATAGACAAAAGAGAAAACTTACGATAAGCAGAAACCGCATGATGCGGGACGGTCATCCCATCAGTTTTTGACTTTAAACGGAAGTCGGCAGACTCCCAGTCATCTCCGACCCAAAACTTCCCTAAAACTCAAAAGAACAGAAAAAAAATAAAAATAAAAATAAAAAATCTACAAACAGAAACTAAATTACAGACCCCCCGCCCCCCTCACCCCCTTCTATAGGACTCTTGCAACTGCTACTCGTCAAAGCAAACACACCGGTTCTCCAATCAAACGAAGAAATGAGACTAGCATCCAACATGTGAACTTCGATCAAACCTGAAAGACTATGCAAATCTAGTGGAGAGACAAGACTCAAGTTCATATCTGAGCTCTCAAAAGTCCCTAGACCGATGAGGCACCGAAAGTCAAAGAAGCCTCAAGCTTGGAGCCTAAGTCATCAAGTGTGATGAGGATATCTCATCTTTGTCATATTGGCCCTAACCACTTCTTAGATAGTGTCAAATGTGATGAGGATATCTCATCTTTGTCATATTAGCCCAACTACTTCTTGCATAGTGTATACAACAATCGGCCTAACAACAACATTATTGCTCAAGTCATCAAGCTATTCGCATAGAAAAGAGTTGCCCAACTACCTCCACACAATTTAACAACCACAATCTGAGGACAATGTGTACCACCCACCATCTAACCCATCCCACAACCTCATATTAGCTGAGAAATGGTGAAATTGTATAGTTCTCTCTTCCTAAACAAATAAATACTTTGAAAATGTTGGGCTTCTATTCAAGGGAAATGCTATTCCCGTCGGATGTCTTAACCGTTGGATACACATGTAGTTAGTATAAGATAAATGATCTAATGGTTAAAACGTTCGACAGGATGGTACCGTACTGAGACCGTAGCATTTCCCTCTATCTATTTAATAGCTATGGTGTTTAATGTTCCCATCATATGACAGTTCACTAATGTGTCCCAAGGAAAGCAGAATAAATAAATAAACAAATAAATGAAATGAGCAAGAAATTTGTCATGGGACACCTCACAACTTGAACACACTGACTGTCTTCTTACCAATAATGTACTCATTCCACAACCACTTCATAGTTAATATTCAACCAACACAATATCCCACCAGCAGATACATAAAAAGAGAGAGAACACTTCAGTTCTCTCATCACTTTCTTTTTTTACATTTTAGTAACTCAACTTACATAGACATATGGGAAACCACACACACAGCCACAACTTCTTCCCAGTTTCACACCAAATACAACAAC